TTTGAGAATGCCATAATTAACTAACCCTGTTTGCTTAGTTTCGCAGCTCATAGTGACTGATACTTAGAGGATACGAGTATGAGAAACCGGAGCTACATGAGTCCATCTGATGAATCCTGCTCTAAGAAGATTATGTGCTGTCTTTGGTTGTGGTTCATGTTGACATTCTGGAAATATTAATAAAAGTCTAAAATCGCTAAAGGAATAAATCTCTCGTGTCGGAGAATTATTTGGCTGGATTGCTGACTGGAAGAGAGCAACGAGTAATGGGTAAATAAACTTTGAGATGCTATTAACCTTTTAAAATAATTTGCTGTCGAGAGTTGTGACTTTCACAGAATAAAGAGCCTTTCAAACATGATGAGACAGCGTTGTTTTGAGCATCGCTTCGTTGTTTTGTACGTAGAACACCAAATATTTGCATCCACGAGATTTCCAGTGGAAGACAGGTCCGGTGGAATCAGAGAGACCAGATGCATTTCAAGTAACTGGATTCTTTCAGGAAAATGTGCATAGGGTCATCGCTCGTCAATTCAGAATTACACAGCCTCGCCGCTTCTCTTACAGGGGCGCATCGCATCACCTTGCTAAGCTCTTTAAACCGTCCCACCCAACCTAGATCCTTGAAAGGCAGAGACTTGTAGACCTAACGGTTAAGGAAACCCATCACAAAACGCGCTTAACCTATGACATGGAAAGAAAATGGCTCGTAGGCCTATCGGCTACCAAGCCTATGATCTGGAAATGCAAAGCTTTTACACCTATAAGCTACTTAACCTACGTTGAGGCGCAAAACGTTTATAGGCCAGAGGCTACACTTACCCACGAAACTCCTTAGCGTATTCGAATACAGTATAGAGGGGACGCAAAAAGGTCTCTCCGGGCAGTGGGTTGTGCATCACTGTACTAGATAATAGGGATAGCAGTCTATCCAACCGATTCCATTATACAGGTTGTCTCAAAAGTCCCTCATTATCTTTAAAAATTTATTAAAACAACAATTATACGAGGAATCAAATGGCAATTTGGTTGCAGAGTCTACGATTCACGAGAATTTTGGTGGAATTAAACTTGGCTTCATATGTCTACTACAAAGTCACAGGTACACCTCAACGTGGGCACCACCTTTTTCGAAGCAAGCGAGCCACCGTTTCACGCATTCTTGGCCGACATTAAACAACATTTCGGGAGTAACAGAAGCACTTGCGTTTCCGATCCGTTCTTCTAGTGCGGGGAGGTCTCGCGGCCTGGTGGCGTACACTTTGCTCTTAATGTAGCCCCACAAGAAGAAGTCGCATGGTGTAAGATTCGGCGAGCGAGCAGCCCATTCGACGGGACCACGGCGACCAATCCACCGATCCGGGAATTGCTCATTCAGAAATGAGCGAACCTCACGTGAGTAATGAGCAGGGGCACCATCTTGCTAGAAAATGACTTCTTGCATGTCGGCTACAGCTGATAGTTGGGGGATGCAGAACTTCTGAAGCATACGATGGTAATTTTCTCCGTTGACGTTTACGGAGTTTCCATCTTGATCTCGGAAGAAAAATGGACCAATCAGCCCATCTGAGGAGATATCACACCGGACGACCAATTTCGGCGTGTTCCTTTCATGTTCACGGATCTCCATCGGATTGTGAGTTCCCCAGATGCGGGTGTTGTGCCGATTGATGCGACCAGAAAGGTGGAAGAGAGCTTCGTCGCTGAACCACATGTGCTCCAGGATCAATGGGTCTCTTTCGTAGTGATGCAGCAGTGTTTCACACAATGAATTTTATTCTGAAGTGCATGGAAACGTATGCACAACGAAAAATCTTATTTATTTAGGACATGAAATGGCTCCTTAGCAATACCCCATATAGGGGTCGTGACGATCAAGCAGTATGCACCTGCGCAATAGCTCGTACAACACGACCGCTCCACTGTCGACTTGCACCGCGGAAGAGCAACGAGGCGTTATTAGTTTTTGTGGTCAAAGGGTGCGAAACCTTCTGAAATCTACAGAAGAATGAAGGTTCAGTATGGAGACAGTTGTTTGAGTCAGGGGAGAGTGTATGAATAGGTGGAAAAAACGGAAGACAAAACCTCAGTGATGAACACCGGAGTGGGAGACCAGTTAGTGCGGCAACTGAGACGGTGAAACGGCAGATCGAGCAGCGAATCCGTGACAACAGGCGAGTCACTATCTTTGAAATTGCCGTAGAATTCAACACGAGTCACGACGCTGCGTACAAAATTGTCCACGATGACTTCGGTTATAGGAAAGTGTGTAGCAGATGGGTCCCAAGGCAGCCGTCCGATGATCACAAGCGTGCACGGCAGACGATCTGTCGGGAGCATTTGGACCGTCGTGCTCGTGAAGGAGATGCTTTTCTCCATGGAACCGTGACAGGAGATGAGTCCTGGGTGCATCATTATGAACTAGAGAGTAAGAGACGATCGATGCAGTGGAAGCACACGTCGTCTCCGGCCGAGAAAAAATTCAAGACACAGGCTTCGGGAAAGTCACGCTTACCATCTTTTGGGATGTCGATGGCCCTATATTGTGTGCATTTCCAGGAAAGGGGTGAAACCGTGACTAGTGCTCGATACAGTGACATGCTAGTGAACAAGTCGAAGCCCGCGATACGATCGAAACGCCGGGGACTTCTCTCAAAAGGAGTATCGTCGCTGCACGACAACGCCCGCCCCCATACGGCTGCGCAAACAGTGGATACACTACGTACTCTGAAATTTGAGGTATTGAAACATCCAGCATACAGTCCGGACTTGGCGCCATCGGACTTTCACTTGTTTGGACCTTTGAAAGAACATTTGCGGGGTCAGAAGTTTGCAGATGACAACGAGGTAATGGAGGCGGTGCAAAGTTGGTTAAAGGCCACACCAAAAAGCTTTTTTATCGAGGGCATCCGCAATCTTGTGGACAGGTGGACCAAGTGTGTTGTGAAGCAGGGGGAATATGTCGAAAAATAAGACACAGATAATTTCTGTAAGTACTCTTGTAAAAAAGTTATTAATAAAATTCCTGTTATATAATGACTTTCCCTCGTATAGTCTACGCGGAATAATGAAAATTTCTCGAGGACTTCAAAACAGCAATCGAAGCAGCTTTCAGCGGAATTTCAGCCGAGTTATGTTCCAGAGCTTGCCCCAACGTGCCAAAGAGGCTTCAAATTTGCATCGACCAAGACGACGGACATATTGAGCAGCTGAAATGAAGTTTTCTGCTGTATCATTCCAAATTCCAAATGTACTTTTAAAAAAAAGCTCCTAGATCCATTGAACCTTCTTATTTCTATTTGAATATAAACAATTTCAGTTACTTAGTGCCCACCCTGTATGCACGAGGACTCTAACGAAGTCCCCTTTTCAAACTCTTCCTATGGCTATCTACATTTTGCCATGAGAAAATACGTCGTTTTGGTAAAAGTAGGTGATAGCTCTTCATGTTCTCATTACGTTCAAGAAAGTTTGGGCATAGAAGTAACATTGACCTTAACGTCCGTGAGTGGACCGCGCAGTAGTCATATTTAATTGCAATGAGTATTAACAAATAACAAATTTTCTACCCGATTCCCTACTGAAAAATTCAGTATAGTCATCTCCCCAAGTTACGTCGTAATTGGTTCCGAGACCGGCGACGTTAGTCGAAACGGCGTAAGTCGAGACAGTACGGTGCTGACGCCTACTCGCAGTCGGGATACTAATTCATGGATGACGTAAGGGCAACGTAATACAACCTAGGTACGAATTGTGCGCTCGGCTTAATACATATATTGCGTTGGGGGTCTAACGACGTAAGTCGAGACGACGCAAGTCGGGGGATGGCTGTGTATGTAATTCATTCACATCCGCCAGCGTACCTGCATGCATGAAGCCTTCTCCATCCATCTCGCCGATTACCTAGAATGGCATAGGCCAAAATAGGCATGAAGCTGAGGCAGTATGATTCTCGGCCCGATAGGCCGAAAGGTCCTGGGTGCCAGTAGGTCGAGATTGGTGTAGGACTGGGCGTCTGTCCGAGGGTTAGATAGGGGCATGCTAAGCCCCTCAGGGTACAACCTACAATTGCAACATCTGTTGCATGCAATATAGGAGCTGTTTGTTTCCCCTCCCGCTTCCTTGAAGGAAGTGCATGAGATTGATACTGGCCTAATCCTCCGGAACGAGTCCCCTCCCGGAAATGTGACCCTAGGACATTCACCCCCAAAGTCGAATTTTTTGGGTTCAGCAATCTAACAGCTGTTCGTATGCCAAGTTTCAGCCTCTCATCATTTCTAGAACATCGAATTAATGTCAGTCATTCAAGATCGTTTATATATATTAGATTCAATTTCCAACCCTCATTCCTCATAGATTTCACTACAGTGCTTATCGAATGAATTTAACCCCCCTCTCACTATGGGCTCCTATGGCTCGCCATGTTTTCTTATGGAGGATGGGCAGATCGCGTAACTACTTGATACTTACTTGTCGATGCAGATGTCATTCACGTCGCTGTCTCCTGCATCCTCTGCCGTTTCGAGCGCTACGTGTAGGGGAGGCATATATCATCCTTACTCAGTCTTCCGTCAGACTCTCAGGAAGTCATGTCGCGAAACTCAACTTATTTCCGCATCGATGACAATTTGAGGGAGAGAGTAATCAGAAAACACTTTGAGGAAAGGAAATCCTACCGGATTATCTCAAAGGAGCTGCACTTGAACTGTAACTCAGTCAAGTCGATTTGTCAGAAATGTAAGAAAACTGGAGTTTGGAAGAAGGAGAAAAACAGGGGGCATCGGAAGCCGAAGCTTTCAGATAAACAACAGATGGCACTAGTGGAAGCCGTCTGCCATCAAAATGATTTGCTCCTGAGGGTAGGCTTTTAGACCTTTCCACTTTTTTCGCCAGCAGTTGTCTTTATTTCTGGGATGAGAGAAAGTTAGGATTATGAAATGTATTAATCTCTGGTGAAAACTTGACAGCTCCAATAAATCCCATTGATCGTTTCCTGAGCAGGACCTGCAGGAAATGGTTAATGCTGACAAGACTGGGGATTGTCGTGATATGGATTCAATATCTATATCAGCCATTTCGAAAATCCTGAGGAAGCATAAAGTCACTTACAAGGTTCTGGACAAAATTCCTGCTAGGAGAAATAAACCCAAAGTTATTGAGAGGAGGTAAAACTATGAAGTAAACCTTTTTTTTAATGATGACATACCTTCTTTTAACCACATTTTGACATCTACTGAACAGGTTCGCCTATGTCCTCGAATTCCTCATGGCAGAGACAGTGGACCATCCAAGGTTCATTTACGTGGGTGAATCTCCTCACAATCTGCATATTCGACGGAGATTCGGTAGAAATATTGTAGGAAAGTAAGGCACCTTTATACTTAAGTTTTCCATACCCAACACTGTCTCTATAATCATGACCTGTCACGTGATCACATTATCTGAAAAGTTACAGTGTTTAGTCAGGAAGGATTAACTTTCAATGCTGATTCTAGGAGGGCTACCGTCTCCGTGCCCGACTCCAGGGGCCGGAACATTACCCTAATCATGGCCATGGAGGAAGAAGGGATTGTCCATAAGGCTGTGTCCTTGAAATCGGTAAATTTGAGAACATTTTTGAATTTCTTGGACACACTGTTGAAAGAACTGGAGGAACCAAGTGTAATAATAATGGACAATGTGCAATTCCATGCCCATGGGCAAGTCAGGGATGGAATCGAAAGCTCCGGACATTCCTTATTGTTGACTCCTCCCTACTCCCCTTTTCTAAATCCCATCGAGGAAATTTTCCGCCTCATCAAGGTATCTATACTCTGTTCCTTTTAGTCAATCGCGCTCAATAGTCGAAGAAAAAGAACTGGGAATAGCTTTTGAGCAATGAGCTTCATGATTCTTTTTCCCGCAGCACTCCATCAGGAACACGAAGCCAAGCACAACGGATCAGCTCGTTCGTACCATATGCGAGAGTATTGAACTCATCGACTCCAAGAAATGCAAATCTGCTGTGTCACACTCAAAGTCTTTCTTTGATGCTTGTCTACGAAAGCAGCCCACCCTAAATTCTGCACCAGTGGCTAAGCTGTAATACTGCCATTCGGTCAAGTGCTATATATTGAACAATAATGCATTCAGATTTCGCATTCTCAATTTTACAATTTTGGAATGATTGGAAATAGTGAACATTTCTGTGTGTCATTTGACAATAAATTAAATAAAAGTTGCTTGATATAAATTAAATGTATCTTCCTAGAGCACAATTCAAGGATATGCGATTCTCTCTAGGATACTTTTAAATTTCGAGGTTGTGTTGATGACAAGATCTCATCCTAATCGCAATGTTGGACTTTCCTCGAAACTACTTATTCGAACTTGGTTAATTGACACTGTTCCTGCTCATTGTGTCTCTCCCATGAAACGTACAGGTGGATTAGGTTTTATGGGGAGCTCCTTCATGTTATTCATGTTCTGGATTAGCGGGACTGGTTAGGATCGCGAACGCTGGTAACATCTTGTCATTGACAGTTCCTTGGATGAAAAACAGATGTCATTCCTGTTGCACCACCATCAGCGCCCTCCCCTACTCCAGAGGCGGGGGGGGGGGGGGGGGTGAATTCATTCGATAAGCACTGTATTGTGCGCCATCTCCAGTTCTGTTTCTTAGCTCAGTGTGTAACACGCGTGTCTCGTCGAGTTCGCTGTTCGGCCATGGAGGAGTTGTTGATGTGCGCATGCTAGGTGGATGATCGACAGCGACATCTATATTGCGACCCTGTCAATGAATGGGATTCGAGCGGAGTGTCGCCTCTAGTTACATATTCTCTACTCTATGCAATAATTCTAAGAAGAAGTACTACTTTTCCTCATTAGAAAATGTTAGTATCCCAATCTTAGCGCGTGGGTGAGAATCCTTTCTCAACCGTAGAGCTCTCTCTGACACCCATCAGATGCCCAGTTCTTCTTTGCCCCCGGAGATGCGTGTAGAGAACGAGTTAGAGAGCGAAAAATTCTCTATTGCGGAAGCATCTATTTCCATAACAGAAACTAGGCACTCGTCGCACTGGTATTTCTTTTATGAGGAGGAGTAATATAGATTTTCACACTATCATGCACCTTGACCCACAGCCCATGAAGTCACCTTGGAAATCGAATCATCTTCCCTCCATCCTTCGGGCCACAGTTTTCTGGAGACTCCTTGGACTGGGTTACATTGTAAGACCGACTTGTTGAAGAATCCAAATGTCTTCCTCCGTGGTGTCTGAGGGGAAAAAGATCGGCCCCCCCCAAGGAAAGTATCGGAGACTAATTCCAGCTGTGTGGGATGCTGACTCGCTATAGCGGCTACGTTGGCGTTATCTGTGTAAACCAGTGATGCACAACCTTTTCCCCGTAGAGGGCCAAAATTTAGATTTCGGCTCATGTTTGAGGGGATGGAGGGCCGCAGACCCTCGAACAAGAGCATAAATAGACCGCATATACATAAATATGGATCTTTAGAGACCGGAGGCATCCAAGGGGCCGCAAAAAGAGTCTCTGCGGGCCGCGGGTTGTGCATCACTGATGTAAACCTTTGTTTCTAGCCACTGGGAAATGGATATAGCACATTAGTTATGCTCAAGAAAAACGCCTAATTAACATTCAACGAACGTCCTTCAAAAACGTCATGTATTGGTGATCAAATCCACTGGCGCGGTATTTACCTTCAACCCACTCCCATAGCAAAATTCAACCTCCTCGTATTCCTCACTGAGAGAATCAACAGGAACGAAATTAGGCATGTTTCTTCCTCTCAACACAGAATAGCTCCAGCATTTTTGAAGGGCCATCTCCCCGTGGATGTGAAGAACACTGAATCTTGCTTTTTGAACATGTGAATTTCATTCCATTTTTTTTTTATCCCTCCCCCGGGTTATCGGAGGAAGGAGACCAACTATAAGAAGGACTCGTAGATGACGAAAAGTGACCTTTTTGTTGTTTGCGATGCACCATTTCGCCATAAAAAAAGGAAGTAATGTGAAAACCAATTTTAAACGGCTTTTCCTTTCTTCAACCCCCCTTATCTATGGGACACGCTAACATTAGGCTTAGGCCTGGCCAACAGACTGCCTTCAGGTTACCCCAAAACTTACCATTATTCTTTAAAAAAAAAACTCAATTCTCTACTTTTTCTAATTCTCCTATTAGGCCTTTAAGGATGAATCCCTGGGCTTCGAGAAATCTCGTTGAGGACATGTAACCTTAGGCCAATCGCAGGCCTATTCATACTTTCACTAGCAACCATTTCAGAGAGTATATGTAACGTTAGACTGATTTGCGGCCTGTTTCGCGTTTCATGAACCACTTCAGTGGGGAAGTGGAAAATTAGGTCTATCTGGAGTTCCTCGAACCATCTCGAATAGGTCTGAGGAGGGAATGCCTCTAGGAAGCCTGAAATCCATGGTGCGCGCCATCCAGTTAATTCAATGATGTCCGGAAAAGATATCTCCATTCTCATACATAAAAAAGATCCAGACGCCGATACGAAGATTGAAGTAGTCTTGAATCTGGCATAATTTCGGCACGATATCTGGCAACACTGAGGGACGGGATCGGAGCCAGTGCTCTCAGCCTAAATGAACGACAATTAATTTCATTTTTTATTATCGCGAAATGGTGCACTGGAAGCAACAAAAAGGGCACTTTTCGTCATCCATAAGTCAATGGCTGGTATGCAAGAACGTATAAAACTGATAAAATAGCTATTTTTGGGGGTATTATATGATAAGTTTGATAGGTTGGCCATATGCAGAAACATTTTTCACCTCTTATGATAGGGTATCATAGTAGGTATAAAAATCGCTTCAATCTATTATGATTCAGAGCTTGTTTATTCTGCTTAAGAACATATAACAAGCTACCAGGGTGGATGCAGTGCATTTTGCTAACCCGATGAATTATGTGAACCATCGTAACTTGTGCCGAGCTCAGCTATTCTGGGATAGTTTATATACCTAAGTTTTTGTATCAAGCCACGGTAATCGGAATTCAAGTACTAGTCTGGTAAACGGGGTCAGATTCATACCATTATATCATCACACAACACTCTGGTCAGTCATAATGCGAGCAGAAGCACATGGCATTGTTGCTGGGCGCAACACGATGGATAAGAAGCTGTCATCAGGAAGATTCACGAATACCTATCGTAATAGGTATGAAGATGCCTATCAAAATAGGCCTCACGATGGATACCTATTAATTGTTCTTGCATACGGAACCTAGCAAATTATAGACCTCTCGCTTGATACCTATCATGAAAGCTACCATGTAATAGGCTATCAAGAGATAGGTTCTTGCATACGGGTCTCATCTTTCATTTGGTTGGTCTCTTTTCTCCGAAACCCCTCCAGGAGAGGCTACACAGGGGGGAGGAAAAAATACCGGAATGAAATTCATATCTTCAAAAAGTGAGATGGAGGGTTTTCCACATCCTCGGGGAGATGGAGCTTCAAATTTGCAGGAGCGATTCTGTGTTGAGAGAGGAAGAAACAAGCCCAATTCCGATCCTGTTGATGCTCATAGAGGAATACGAGGAGGTAGGGCAAATTGCAAAAATAAATCAGAACTGCATAAAGGATTATAGGCCACCCCCCCCCCCCCCTCGCGTGCATGGAGCGCAAAAATTTTGGAATAAAAATTAGATTTAGCGCCATTTTTAAGTAAATTTTTGTTGCAAAATTTAATTCTTGCCTAGTTTTGAACTGCATAAATTTCAATTCAGAATTATTATTTCTTAAATATTTCGGACCTGCACATATCTGTCACAAATGCACATTAAAATACTTGTCGAAAGCCCGTGTACACAGAATTTAGATTTTGTTCACTGTATGAGGATTTCTGGAGAAAATATTTCTCAGTGAAAAATAATCACAGCTAAACGCACTTGGGAACGGCCGCCAAGGCCCAGTCCATGCCAAATGTCTTCTTTACCGCTGATCGTATTCGGAATCTGTCTCATTTGCTCTGTGTACACGGGAACGTTCGGCCTCGGTACTTGAGAGGAATCGACATCAGCATGACTCCCACGCGTTATTCGCTTTCTCTTACGATCATCGACGTTTCTCTGTTGACGTTTTTTGTAGCATGATGATGTAATTTTTTTTCTCAGGAAAAAAACCCTGAAAATTTAGGTTAAAAAGTACTCATATGTCCTTAAGGGGGACAGAATTCAGACGCACTCAGACAGACATGAGCATGTGTCACGTGGTAAGCTTTTAGTGGTGCTGTCGAGAGATGGGTAGCGTGATTCGTTTGCCGCTATTGTAGCAGGCTGATGTCGGCGTAGGTTCAGCGCCAAGCCTCACGTGAACAGTATTTGCATGGTAGGGAAAGGAAATACACTTGTTACCAGTTGCACTGAGATGGGTAGCGTGATTCGTTTGCCGCTATTGTAGCAGGCTGATGTCGGCGTAGGTTCAGCGCCAAGCCTCACGTGAACAGTATTTGCATGGTAGGGAAAGGAAATACACTTGTTACCAGTTGCACAAGGTTTAGTAATTCAGGAACAGAATATCCTCCGAACGGAGGTCACCAGGATGTGGATGAAGTGGTAGTAGCATGGGGTTCTGCGGCTCGTGAGAAGTGACACTCGAAATCACTGCCGAGGAGTGGAAGAAATGGCAGGAGAGAGTTGCACTGCCGAGGAATAGCAGAAATGGCAGGCGAGAGTTGCACTGCCGAGGAATAGCAGAAATGGCAGGCGAGAGTTGCACTGCCGAGGAGTAGCAGAAATGGCAGGCGAGAGTTGCACTGCCAAGGAGTGGAAGGTCCATGAATGCCTCGGGAATGCCCGGAGAATGCTCTGCCCATCCTGAATGTCGGAGGGCCTCCCCTATTTAAGGGCAAAGCTGGCCGGAGAAAGTAGTCCTCCGGCCCAAGGTGAGGGGGCTGGGTTCATGCCCGATGGAGAGGATAAAAAAGGAGTGAAAGGGGTCGCAAATGGATAAACCCGTTCGAGTACATGACACTCACACCCACCCAAGTAACACCTGAAATCTGTAACAATAAAGACGGCAATGGTATATATATTGTTCTGAAAGTGCTATTAGTTCTCTCCAGGGAAAGAGCCCCTTTCCAGCTCTATAGAACACATCACCTCCCGTATTGATCATTAGGTTCCCAGGAGAGGAAACGATACTCATTACTAAGCACGTTTAATCCAAAGTCACATTACTTTTTCCATTATACAGCCTAACTTCATGCAAGGGGTTCTCACGAAGATGAGCTTGTTTATTGCCTGGGCTCCAAGGTTCTGTCTTGAATATGGGGGTAATAAATGAGTAAATGTTTGATATCATTGATTGCTCTTATGAGACTAGGGAAAACATATGGTGAGGTACTAAACAATCTTGTGAGGGATGATTCCATGGAAAGAGGGAAGTAAACTTTTTTGTACTGTGCGAAAGCGACACCCATGCCTCCATCTAGTGGCCAAGAGGAGAACTTCAGCATTTCCACAAAAATAACTTCTCCTTGCAATTTGGGCACCACCAAAATGAAGTGCTCCGTGCAGCTTGGGAACATTGGATCGATGATGAAATGGCACTATTGGGAAGCTAATATTCAGCAGGTATTCGCAATAATGACAAAACATATAAACATTGCGCAAAATGTTGGTCCAGCAGAGCCAATATTTCGTGTTACTGGGATGGGTAACACAGGATAGAATCTTTGTCGTTTCTTCACAATTTTTTTTATTTACTATCATAAGTACTATTCAAAAATGCGACTTATGAAGGTAAGGTATTATCATAACATTATTTCATTTATTAAATGTTGGACTTTGACCTTCAATGTAGATGACATTGAATTAACTCTAGCGGAACGTTCCAACAACGCTACCATAATTGCTGGGTTGATTAATACCACTCTGAATTGATTAACTGAATGAAAAAATAAATAACATTCATTAACACATTAAAGCAATTTACCAAAAAAATTTATTGGCACTCTCTCCCACCATAACACACTAAGTAGAAACCAGAAACATTGGCCAAGCAGCATAGACCCAGCATTGTAAAATATCTCTAATAAAATATGCTTCTCTTTGGAGAAATTCTCCAGGTTCAACCTCTAGATTCCTAGAACTTCATTATCCATGCAATAGAAACGAAGCAGAAATGTCACATAGGTTTGGAAGAAAATAATTGTAATCAGAACCACAGTCCAACTCCTAAAAATTTAATTTAATAATGCAACACTGCTCACTTCTCTCTATGCACCATGCATGTAATGCACAATGATCTACTTGTGTGGGAAGACAAAAAAAAATCCACAGAAATAAAAATTTTTTTTTTCACAACCTGCCAGTTTTACTCGATCATTACCTGACATGAAGTCACATCTTCAGCAGGGACAGATTGGAAAGCTGCTCCCATGCTTCATTGAAAGCTGCTCCCATCAGCAATACATAATGACAATTGATGGTAAGAGTTATATTTAAAAAGCCTTGCAAAAGAGACCATCCAAAATGAATTTTAATTCTTACTCAAAATAGAGGAAGAATTTCTATTAAGAGAGCACAAAAACAAAAAAAACATGCGAATCTCTCATTTTCTGTCTAAAACTCTTCTTTCACTCCAGCAAGACACCTAAGAGGGAATTAAGTTGAGGCATGTCCTCTTCCTTTACATTATGTGCAGGGGTTCATGGGGTCTGACCCTCCCCACCACTGCTCATGATGTTATCTCTCAACTTCTCAATCCCACTCTTCCCCAAGGGTGGGGGAAGAAAGATGTCATGAGAAAACTTCAGAAAGAAAATGCTGTGCTCCCAAGAGCTGCATTTCTTTCCAAGAGTTTCCTTAGGACTCATACAATGTACTTTACCACTACATTACTCTTATTTACTCTTTCACAAAAAGTATTGTTGTATGCCATGCACATAGGAAAAAATTCACAGCACTCCATTCCATTCCCATCAATACCATGAACCTTTAACCCTTTGAAATCGATCTACAAGACCACTTCAAATATCACAAGGCCATTCAATAAATCAACAAGACCATGTTGTATCTATATTTTACGTGTGAACTTTTCACTTACTACAAATTTTGATCAAAAGACCAAATCACAAGTCTGTCTTCTACTGCTTTAACCTATAAAGAAAAAATTATCCATTGTGCACACACTATAACAGGAGCTTGGGAACCACACAAATATGGTACACAAATGGCATAATTATTCTGAACCTGATGGATTCATGCAATACAAGCAATAAAAATTATGCATAAAATTTGGCTCACTTTATCAAATTTTTCATTTGGGCAGCATGCATAAAATCAATATGAGAAACATATTTACGCATATAAATTTCTTCCACCTCTCTCAATCATCATCAAAAGGGCCAAAAAGAGTGGAACCATCAAAATCACAATGCCCATCTAAAGGACTGGCAAAACCAGCACCATCGCCAAACTGCCTATCAAAGGACACGACGAGAACAGCACTACCATCCTCACTCTGCCCTTCAAAAGGATCAAAAAGACCAGGACCATCGTCATCAAATTGATCATCATAACTATAAGCATATTCTTCATCTTGAGAAAAATCATCACATCCCCAATTGTAATCATGTTGGTGACAATCATCATCATCATGCAGACAGTCATCATCATGTGGACCACAATTAGCATCATGCCCCACCTCTTCACATGGAGGTGCTACACAGGGCCGTTTCTAGGCTTGTTGGCGCCCAGGGCAAGAAGTTCCAATGGTGCCCCCCCCCCCTTTAACCCGCTGGCGCCCCGGGCGATCGCCCGCTTCGCCCACCCCTAGAAACGGCCCTGGTGCTACACAGAAAAATACACAGGAACTCAGATCTCTCCTCAAAGGGAAATGTACAATATCTAATGGCGAGGAAGCCCCTATGCTAATCCACATCTTATGCATCATTACAAAATTGATTTCTAAGCAGAGAATGAATATGTCCATTTCGTTGACGCACCTAGGGCTTTTCAGACACCATGAATTTTGAAGAATGGAGAACGTTTTTGTCTTTTAATGCATATCCATAGTCAAAAGGCTGATCATGTATTTCTTTACATTTCCACGGCATTGAATAATTTTTAATACTCACATCACACAAATTAGGAATCAAAATTATTCAAAGCAACGCGCAGAGAGCTCAAATGATCAAAATGCCTAAAGATTCATAGAAGGGCTTTTGAGATTTCTTGCCCTCGATATCTCCCGAAGAAAGGAGGCGAATTTCCACATATTTTGCATCACCGAGACATGAAAAAGGACCTAATGCGGAATCAGTTCCACCCCATGGACGGGAGTATCTTCAGAACGAGTATGATGCATTTCGGGTTTTCTACACGGATCCTTCGAGACGACTACGAAAATTCGGCTCTGCCGAACCATGCAGCGATCGGCCGCGTTTCTCCTGCATGTCTTCCCGACCGCAACGACCGCGAGCTGCTTTCCTCTGATATTAAGTTGTGATGGAATGACCCACGATTCAGATGACACCCAAATTGCCTTTCTAGGCGAATCGGTTGCATAGTGGTGGGATTTTTCCAATCGTGCCTGAAATGGCCAGGATCTTGTACAACGCGTGATCCTCCTTAAATAAATTTTTTTCCTGCTCGCCGCCTGCTTCCCGATTCCCATCCCTTTCCAACCCGCCCTCCACTTGAATTAATTCGGCATTCCCAGATTACACTTGAGAATTTCCACACGCGAGGTACGCAGTATCTCTTACGAATAGCGATGGTAACTCCCCTTTCCAGAGGAGCAGAAGTTTTAAAGGGAGATTTGTGGTGGACATGGTCATAAAAAGAGGGGGGAGGGGGGGGATGTAAGTTGACTGACTACCCATTGCGAACATCACACATTCGACATATAATCTGGAATCACATTAATCTGATGAACATAGTCACCCTTGGAGCCTTAGACCATGTATCGCCCGCACAAGGATTGATACCGACAATACACAAGTCTCAGAAATAATTCATGCTCCTTAGGTAAAGAAGGGCGGCGGCTCTTTTTTCGACAAAGGATGAGTCAGCGCCGGGGGCCAGTGATGTTTTTGTTGTTTTGTGATGGGCTGTTTGCCTTTGGCAAACTTGGCCCATAGGAGCCAGCGAGACTGGCGAAGAGAGGAAAGAAGCATGGGAGGGGAAGCGCGTGCATGCGACAGGGTGCCAAGGCAGGCGAAAGAACGCGGGAGAGTGAGGCGGGAGGGAGGTCCCACAAGGAAGAGCTGCGCGCGAAGATGCATGATTTCATGCAAGTAGGCAACTACAGCCATGCGTTCTCAATCGCCTTGGAGAGAGTAAGCAATCTTGGTGTCAATTAGACTCTTGAAACATCCTTCTATGGCAGTGATTCTTAACCTTTTTGGCTGCGACCCAAATTCCGGTCGCGGGGCTAGCACGGCGACCCATGCCCTCAAATAGTTCACTTGTGTTAAACGATACGTGAAAGTTCGAACAGTCACTGGAGACCCTTGGCGACTCACAAAATGGCTCAGCGACCCAATTTTGGGTTGCGACCCAGGGGTTAAGAACCACTGCTCTATGGAATAGGCGCAAACGATCCTGTATTCTTGGCCGTTGAGAGGCGAATAACGACTCAGAATGTAGGAAATATTCTCAAGAAAGGTTGCACTAAAAAGCTCTAGGCTTCGAGGAGAGAGGACGAGTTCTCGTGAGAATCGACACGAAGCTGGTTAAAAGACTTCAGAGATCTATCGGAGGAATGTTTGGAATTCAGCTTCATTTTCGAGTAATGCACGTCAACCTTACGTAATTTCCAAAAAAAGAGGAATTTTCAGGTGGATCATGGAACTTTGAGGGGGAACGGTAGAAGGAATCTAAGCGCAAATCCGCAAAAAGATGGACCAGGATGGCCTCCAAAAACTGGAGCGTCCTTTAGTAGATGGAGAATTTCTACGAGGAATGAGAGGAAAAACGGGAATCTGCGATGGTAAAATTCAGCCATGGCACCACGGCAGCTCGATAACGTAAGTTACATTCTGTATATATTATTTACATTTAACGCGGTGTGTCCCAAGGAGAATGGTGTAAATTTAACGTTTCTGCGACGGAGGATTGAGGAGAAACAGGTTTTCAAAGAGAGGCATGTAAATCGTGACCTTTGACCTCAAATCACGGTCCCGGGTGTGACCTGAGAGAGCCAGCAATCGGCTCCAAGGTCCTTCCTCCGGGTCCCCTACAACAATTATAAAGCGAAATTTTGATCCAGGGTGGTCGATATTATGTTCCCATAGTACCTTATAGCATTTAATGCTTTGTGGAATTTAACTCGATGGTACTCGTTCAGCGCAAATACCAAAAAAGGTTTTCAAAACTATCTCTATAAGACAATCCGATTAGAAGGTGGTGCACGCAGTTCCAAGAAACTGGGTGTATGAAACACAAGAGGCCAATCCCATAGCTACCACCGTCACCAAACATCACTCCATTTCTAACTTTTGCATTAAAAAATTCTACACTATAACAAGAGTTTCAGAATATGGCTCCACACAAATATGATTTAAAAAAATGGTGTAATAATTCCAATGTCTATAAGTTGATGCAATACAAGCAATAAAAATTATACAGGATGAAAAAAGAGAAAAAAATCCGGAAAGGGATTTTGAAAATTTTTAGGCAACAGTTTGGGGGAAGGATAATTTCTGGGTTCAGCACTGTTTCATGGCCATCCCGGTCCTCAGACCTGTTCGCACCGGATATTTTCTCTGGGGATTATTGAAGCACAAAGACAACCAAACACATCCCAGAAGTGGAGATGAACTTGATGATTAATTTTCAATACTCATTCTTCTCTTTTCTTCCTTGCTTTTCAAAGGTCGGATTCAAAAGCTCAAATTTAACTAAAATTTAACTAAAATTCAGCTAAAATTAAATTGAAAAAATTGCAACTATTCCTGTTAAAAATTTAATAAAACTGTGGGGTAGCTCAGAAAACTCAAAGGGACAAGGGATTGGACAGATGATGGTGCCTAACAGACCAGGACTGAGAGCAAGAGGCCTCGAGGGAGAGGTCTGGCAACTCGAACCATTTCACAGACCTGGTAACAAAATCCAAAGCATGCAAGTTGACTAATATTTCCTTTCCATGACTAATGTGGATATGAGAAAGTAAAAAAAAAAACCTAATTAACATGTAAATAGGCTTTCTCATCCTTTTTTTTGTTGACAAAGTCAATTCCTGAAAAAGTCATCATTCCCATTTGCTTTGGTACCCATGGCATTCAGGCTTACATTTATAGCATTGTGTCCCCTCATCCATGAATAATGCCTAAGAAAGGAAATTAGACTGGAGGAGAAACAGTTGCAGCCAACCTCTCATGGGCACTCTCTTTCAGCCACTCATTGAACCAAACCAATAAAGCACATGGTAATCACTTACTCACTTCGCAGCAGGGGAAGAAGGGTGGGTAGAGCTGGGAGATTGAGACGCCCAGCAAAGTCACACCTAAGACGACCACCAACTCTAATTTCACACATAGATCTTCATACTGGTTCCACTCAACCCTGCACAGGGAAGATCTCTGTTAAAGTTTTTCCAGCCAGACCATTATTGCATGCTTCGGTACTGAAAGTTAGAGCTGAGTAATGAAAGACCTAGTGAAATGGTTGTCATAAAAATGTCATGTGGTGACACTGGTTAACGGCTCACTTGAAAATGTGACAAAGAGGACGACCGCAGGAAGTGATTCGAAGACAGAAGTAGCATGACAGGAAATTTTACTTTTCCGTATAAGTATGATGCATGGGACCATCCATCAGCTTGGATCACATTCCCACATGCATCACTCAGCTTTGCACCATCAAAATGGAATGCTCGACCCATCAATTCAGCCTGGCCAAGATGAACAAAAGGACCAGAGAAAACCACCCCCAGAGGACTCAACAATATCTGCATTTGATGCAGAATGTTATTGATTTCGATTCTCACAGTAAATTAACTCATTCACAAAATGGAACTGGAAATAAGGTCTGTGACCTGATTTCAGAATCACAAAATGGAACTGATACAGAATCAACAGCTAAGTAGATCATTAGATTGGTAGAGGGTCACCTTCAGATACGGCCAAGCTGACAAAAGGTTGCAGGATTATAGTACAAGAACTAAATCCAGGGGAGGAGGGAGAAAGAAGGTGGGATGGAGAAAAACCAACAGCTCTGAAACTGACCCTTTTAGGGAGGAAAGACAAAGCTTCAAGGAGCAAAGGATTAACCTACTGAGCTTTCCAAGAGTGGTGGACAATCATTCCAAAAGATGCTTTAAGGATGTTCAAAGTACTAAAGAAGGGACTGTTCAGTTCATGTGATAGGATGCAATTGGAAAATAATAATTTTTTGCTGGATATTATGAAGATCTCTCACCATATGTCAGGCTGTTCACCAGGAGAACTATTTCAGCTGATGCTGGTTCCAGGTTCTAAACATTATAAAATATATATTAACATAAAATAATAATAATGAAAATCAGAAATGATCCTATCATGAGAGAGATCAAAAGAAGCACATACATGATGTATGAGATCACAGTGCTAATATGCCAATGATGGGAACACAGAATATTTCAAATAAGCAGGCCATTCGAGCTTCAAAGTTAAATGTCAGAATAAAAAGATGGAAGACACAACAGTGATACTTCATCTGCAGTCTGGATGTTTTTTTTTATGAACAACTCATACTAAGATCAACCAGAGCAGAATATTCTCATCTTTGCTAATCAAGGGAAGTCTTAATGTGGTGGGGGATGGGCTGGGGAGAACTAAGGAAAAAAAGGAAAAAGTGTGACAATGCCAGATACTGCATTGGCTGCAGCGATTTCTGTGAAACCCACATTGTATTTTTCTATTGCTGCCTAATTGCACACAAAAAGTTCTTGAATCTGTCAATGAATCTGCTGCTAAAAGGCAGTGGCAGTTGAACTGCAATAAAGCATCCTGCATTTGTTTTAAAACAAATCAAATTTATGCTATGGTGAGTGATATTCAATGATGAATATTCAAGGAATTAGAACTCCCACCAGCCAATAAATGCAAGGGCAAATAAATCAGAATCATCCTCACCATCAATGGTTTCGTCATCAGCCTCCTTGCATCTCCCATTATCTCTACATCCAGCAAAGGAACCATTTCCACAAGCAGGAATCGGACCATCATCATCCATCCCCTTATCAGCAACATAATTGCTGCATACCCCATCAGGACATCCATCATGAAGCCCCACCTCACATGGAGGTGCAACATACAAGAAAAAATATGAAATTAGATCCCTCTCAAAAGCAAATTTGTCCAAAAGCATATGCAGGGTGTCAACCTACATCGTAGGCATAATTACAAGATGGATATCAAAAAGAGGAATGAAAATGCACATGGGTTTGACTCAATTGCTGGCTAAAGTCAAGTGCCACATATTGCCCCATATTGAGTCTGACTGCTCAATCAGGGCGAAATGTGTGAAAGTGCCATCTTATTGAATTAAATATAAGCATGATGAATAGGGAGGTAGAGAGAGGAAGGGGAGGGAGGGAGGTAGAGAAAGGACAGGGAGGAAGGGAAAGATGGAATGAAGGGAGGGAGAGAGGGTGGGGATAGACAATGAGAGAGAGAAAGAGAGGGAGGAAATGAGTGCACAGCTTATAACCCCCAATTTTCTTTCTATTTCCACACCAGTCGGCCAAGCTGATAACCAATCTAATACCAGATGAAATTAGCATGTCTCCCCAGCATACATATAGTCAAGTCACTGGGAATATGGTCAGTGGAAGAAGAAGAAAAGAAAAGAATCATTTAGGGTCTTCCTGATCTTTGTCAGCAGATTAACTCCTACTGTCAAAGACGTTTATTTCCATCTAATTGTGACATTCTGACAAGGATGCCCCCATGAGTCTTCTCTTCAGTAGTACATAGAGTTCAACAAATATGTCTAGAGAAAGATAGATAGGCTTGTTATTCTATGTGGTGAATCCTCTTCAGAGTCCTCATCAGAGGATGCATAAAAAATGGCATTACATTTTATACTAACCATTCTTGTTGTCCTTGTGAAGAAAACTGCCTGTGGCAACCCTGTTTTTCTAAACTGTAGATTAAGGAAGGGGACTGTCAGCTAGCTGAAATTTTATGACCTATAACGGGGTGACCTGTCAAACTTGCTGACCAACTTGCAAAATCAGTGCCACTCCAAAAGACATTTAAAAAAGTAAAGAAATCCTCCCCATCTCTTGGCAACTTTAATTGTGCCATTAACTACTTTTGTGTCTATTTTTTTTCCCAAAAAATCAGTCCAAAATATGTCAATTAATTTATTTTTTCGATTTATTTCTATGAAAATTTCAATAATAAAATAAATGAACTTGTAACATAATTTTGCTAATTCAAGTATTATTTCTATACTTACATAGAAGTGTGTGACAAGGGTAAACATGTATGCATTAACATTTAACCTCTTCCAGGTTTTTCCCCAACTGTATTCAGGCAAATCACAGATGGGTAATCTTGAGCAAGCCAAATGGATCCATCCATTTGGGTTGAAATAGAGGTTTGTTGTTTTCAATTGACAGGGAATAATACAAATGGGTAACTAGCTATATACCATCACAATAGAGAGACTAAGAGTGTTTTTTTCCTGGGAGTTTGAAATTAAAACAGCTACCTGCTCTCTCCCCTGCCCTCACTGGTATCACAAAAAACCCTTACTTCTTCAATGGCCCCCTTGCCCTTCAAACGTGAAGTTATTAGTTTTCAGGAAATGATGGATAATAGTTCTTCCAATGTTCAGATTCACAAGGAGTTCAGGTATAAAGTAAAAAAAAACATCTCAACCTAACAATGTGGAAAAGGCTGTCTCTGAGATTCCCTATGACAAGTGAAGAAAAGTCATTTGCTTTCTCTCTCTTTTTTTTTGCAATGAAAAGTGGGGTCCTTAATCCTTTTGAGGAGTGGGTTTTTTAACGCCAAGATCACCCGTAGTGAATACATGGAGGGCAGGAGGATGTCAACCCCTATATATATGGGCATACTTGTCAAAGGGTAAATGTATTTTTAAAAGGTGAAGGACCTCCAACATATACCATAAATTATCCTGGTGATATTATTTTACTTCAAGACAGTGAAATTATCATACTCTTGATTTCAAATGTTGAAACATAATTTGTCAACCCTCCTCTATTATCTTTTATGGTTGTTTGTGGTACTCCATACATTTTGGAGTCCCATGCAAGCCCATCCTGCCAGACTTTGTGGCATTAATTGCCACATCTTGATCTTCCTGCAAATACTTAATTGTCCTATCCTTCTCACTGATTGTTATTGGCTATTTCTTTCATCCTCTGGTTTATGCTGTGTTTTTGGTTTTACCTTTGGGGTTTCCCATTTCTTTGCAAATGGCAATATCCCAACTTATTATAGGTAACTATGAATTGGAAGTCGGATGTGACATGCATAAGCACAACAGAAGACTGAGTGATGAGTGCGAAATTAAAAACCTAACCTTAAAAACCCCCCAAAAAAACAGGAAATGTCCCAGCAAGAAGTTACAGAATTCACCAATGGTTCATTTTCTGATCGGGCAATTTCGCAACGTCTGCACTGCTGATACTTAATGAGTTATATATGTCAATCACCTCTTACTCAGTCCTTAATCTATCTAAGGACTGAATGGAGGTGTAATCTACATTGCCATATGCCCTAAAATATATTTATAGATAATGTTTGACTCATGTCAAACAATTGGACTCTTGCTATAAAGTACGGTATTCAGCAAGGTGGATCACCTTGCTTCTGTTGTCCACACGTCATTAATTACCCAGTTGAGATGCAGTGCATATGGCACTATCCATTAAACTAGATAAGGTACTATTTGAGGTTCTCACAGGAAAATGATATGTTATGGAATTACCCTCCAGTTTCACAAGTGTTGCAGAATTCCCAGATTTGACCTATCAGCATCATGAGATATTTCAAAGAGCCATAGGTGGAATGCTTCATGGAAGACATCATTTCCATGAAAAGCAGAGATAATGCTTCAGAACTGCACGTATAGTCACAACAGTCTTGCATCCAGATTCCTCCTAACAGAATGCAATATCTGGATAAGATCTTTCCAATTTGACAATGTTTAGTCTTCAGCATCCTTCAATGATCAAATGGTCTTGTTTACAATAGCTAAGAGTTTATGGCAAGGAAGATGCTTGGAGTAAGAAAGCTCAAAAAGCAAAGCAGGAGAAATGTGAAAATCCCATGGAGCCAGCCTGAATTCACCATTTCCTCCACATATGATCCTCCTAGTGCAAAAGAAGTGCTAGAGAGGGTAGATTACTCAAGCACAATGAACCAGCATACTATGCGAGCATGAAGGGAAGGTAGGGAAGATTCAGTAAGGGAGAGGGGCAAAGAATATTTGCACAATGTTCTAAATGAAACATTGACAAGAATATATGGAACCTTCCAGTTCTGGAACTATAACCCTGGAACCCAGAATCAATTTTTGTTGATGTCAGAGAAAGGATTCAACTGAAACAGGCCACACACCATTGTCAGAAGGAATTGATAGCTTCCCCTGGAGTTCCTAATATATCCACAGAGGGTTAAAATGCAGGGAAATACATAAAACTTTCAATCAATCACAAGAATATGCACAACTGTAAATATTTTCAATGCTTCTCATGTCAGGCATGAGCACTCCTTTAGGATCAATACTAGTAGGAATAGCTAAAGTTACTTCAGGCATTCCTAAAGTCACTCCCACTGTCTATGCAGCCATAGAGAGCAAATAGTTGGACTCAATGGTACAAAACTCAGCCTGTAAATCAATCAATGGGGAAGGCAATGCATCTGTGTTCTTGATGTCAAAGAATAGTGTTCATAGATGTTGTTTAAAGTGGTTCCCATCAGTAATAATTAAGCTGTACCATATCAGCTAACACTGGTATTGGCTGCCTGTGTTGCACTATCAGCACTATTGGCCATTGGCCTAAGGCAATGGTGCCCAAAGGATGGGCAGGGAGAAATATATATTGTGTGTCTCATTCCTCTCTCACTGAATGCCACTCCTGCCAGCCTCTCCCAGGCAAAGATATCAATCGGATTATGTTACAGCCATGTTATAGGAACTGGCAGAGGGAAGTAGCAGTAAAGAATGGGAAATCATTACATCTCCATTTACATTATGCTTTTGCAAGGGATGTGCCACTAAATGCTCTCAACTGCAGCAATGGGTAGCAAGCTAACCACAGACAGAAGCACTGAGAGATAGACAGGCTGGACAGGACCAAAAGTGATCTCTATTGTTTCAAGGAGGGCAACTTATAAGTATCACATGGCTTACAATACAGCCTATTTGAATTAATAGGCAATTTCTTTTACAGGTCACAATTGGCACTGGCACTGGCCAATGGTTATGAGGAAAAAATATGCCATTGTCCCACTGGCCAAATGTTACCACCTGTACAGCCCTAGTAATAATGATTGAAAGTGCAGAAAGACATTCCACACTTCTGCTCCAAGCACATCCTGAGGTAAGGAATGAACATCATTTCACATGCTCTCCTACTCATGGAGTGTGGTGGAGGAATTTGAGTGAATAAAACTTTGCCCTTGAGAAAATCCAAAATCAGAAATTTATGCAGATGAGGCCAGGCTATCTTACAGGCCAGGATTCTTCCAAGTGTCAGCTGATAATATGGTCTAACATATGAAGGGCTGAAAGGTAAAGTGGTCTATCTGCAAAAAATTTCCAAAAAAAGTGTCTGGTTTTGGGCTTATAGGGCCTTGTTCCTTTCATAGAAAATTATAGTTTTTTGGAATTAAGTAAAGGATGAAGTGATCTATTGATACATACCACTTTTTCTCAGATTTAACATGACGGTCACTGGAATATTCACTCATTTTGAGTGAAGCTCCAGGAAATAATTTTTTGCAAATAGACCACTTTGCCTTTCAGCCCTTCATATCATCATAGGCACATGGCAAGGCAATTTGCATTGCCTTCCCCACAGACAAATTGGTCTACACACTGAGTTTCACAACACTGTGGCCAGAGTACACTTGGTGTGGTTGTCTTAGCAGTGATAGTAACTTTTCAAACATGTGGCACATATAATTTCAAGCTCAGAGGATATTAAAGCATTACAAATTCAGTTTGAGCAGTGCAAACTGTGTTTTGATGGAGGACAAAATTAGAACCAATTAGGAAAAAACCTGTTGCCTGAAATACTACCTCAGTTCAATGCCTTACATGAAATTTAACTGCATGACAGAGGTATGAGGAGGGATTAACTTTCAGAAATTCATTAGCTATTTCTTCTAATTTCTTGCAAGTTAGATTAATCCTTTTATTGCAGTGCAATTGATTTTTCAGCAACATCTACAACTTAAAAAATGCTGCAAGCCAATTTGTATGCCATCTAGCAACAAGAACCCCAACTATATGAAGGAAGAAATCTAAAAAAAGCTTTGACCAAAAAATTGGCCAATGGCACTTTTAGCAGTAGTGCGTGTGGTTGAAAAATCAGCTGCATGGCACTAAAGGGAATAAGGAAAGTAGCATTGAAGCGTCAAGAAACACCCACTGGAAAATAATGATTCAATGGCTAGCAGAACCAATGAAGCACCATGGTAAGGTTAATGACTTTTTCTAACAATTAGAATAGGAACATATTTTATGTCTTTCAATAGTATGTACATGTTTCCAAAGTCTCGCTGAATCCACAAAATTTAATGATTCTTCTCCTGCCTTAACATAATTTTGAAATGAAAGAATAAAAAATACATTAAATCGATGTAACCTGCTTCTACCTTATCAGACAATAATACAGGCAATACATGCACTATTCCTCTCAGATATAGAAGACATCAAAATTAATATTCAGAAAAATAAAGCCTGCTCATCCAGTTGCACAGGTAATTGGGTTATGTTTGCAACTGCCAATGTGCCATGCAATTTCCAAATAAGACAAGCAAATTCCTGACTCAAAGTAATAACATGACAAACATTTTCTTGGATTTCTCCAAAGGGGAGAAATCCAAGGCCTTGGGATCTGGATCCTGGGCCTTGAAATCCTTGGCATTCAATATGTGCACATCATTTTCAAGAACTTGGTTTTATTTTCAAACAAAAACTCCAAGAGAAACGCACAATCCAGCATTACAAGTTTCAAAATAAGCTAAGTATACCTTTGACTTTTGCAGATAGCTTGAGTATGGCATTGGGGAGTTATTTACATACAAAGCACTGGTATAAAGTGTAACATACAACATTGCACCTTCCTATTTAGAAATTAAGTATAGCACAAGAACTAAATGCAATAATGTGCCACTCTATAAGGAACCATATAGTCATTGATGGTGAACCTTTCTTCCTAAAACCAAAGTTCAATAATATGTTTTCCTCTGTAGAAAGAAAATATCACACAACTCAAGTGCATATGCAGTCCAGGCATAGACCTCACTGCAACTCAATATTTTAGAACAAATGTGACTTGAACAGAATAGTGAAGGGCTGCAATGGGTATCTTGAGACCAAATGAGCACATTTCATCAAGATTGAAGAAAGCCAGACCTGCAGGAATGAGAAAACAAAAACTCTGGAGTAATATAGCAGGTAGGAAAAAAAGTTGAAATAATAGCTGCTAAGTCAACTACTCAATCTAAAGAAAGAGAAAATAGAAGGATATTCTGATATTCTGAATAAGATACTAAAATGTCCTTTAAATTATTCCAAAGTTAAGCTTAAAAGTGCATTTTATGATTCTTTCTAGTATGGATGTTGTTTCTTTAAATAGGTCTTCTATGCAATGGTCCATGAGTGACAATTAACCTGAAAAATCAGGTGAGATTCCTTCATCATTTTAGCATACCAATACACAAACACTGAATCATACTGAGAAAATATCTTTATGTCATGAAAACCTAAATAAATTTCCTACCTTTTGAAAAAGTAGGACTTAGTCCAAGAGACATGGGAACTTACTTCTTCTTGACAAAAGAATCCTCTAGACTTTCATCCAATGGTCTTTTCACTCTGGCCAGACCATCATACCTTCCTTGAGCCTGAATCTGATCCTTGATCTGAAGATAATCAATGAAGGCTCTCAAAATCTGTTCTTTAAGGCTACAAATCAACATGCAATAAAAAGAAACAGTATGTATCAAAACTTTCATACCCATTTTTCCTTGTCAGGAAGTATTGGCAATGCAGTAATGATGAAATCTGCTCCTCGGTGGTAGGACTGGAAATGCTTAATTATCTCCACCTTACTGAGGCATGTGAATACACACAGTGTACAAGAAAATCTTGGGTAGTCCACCTCACGACGGAGGTGATCCCGAAAGAAATATTCCTTCTCAGTCTTGTAACTACACATCAGACAGGAATACTGACATGGCCACAATGTATTGAAGTCCTCAGAGACTGGGATCCCCCTCACACACTTGACCTGACTCAAGTCTTGCCACTTCCAGAGTGGCTGAAGGGATTTATCTCCAGAGTTTTCAAGAGCTTCAGAACTAGCTGTTGGCTTCTGAAGGTTGATCACTTCTGGTGGATTAGAGGAGGGATCATGAAGCCTTCTGTGGTTGTAATGCTTGCCCATTGATGAGAAAACCACCTTATTATGTAGACACTTGAAGCCATCCTCAGCTGCATCCAATGTGTTTGTGTGTTTCCTGTACAGACTCTCACTTGGGTTGATGTACTGGCACCCATTCACAGAGCAAATATTTCCCTGACCCTCCTCAATATTATCTTTGCATTTTTCACAATTATCATCAGCCAATCCTCTTTCAAAATGGCCACTTGCAAAATTGGAACTTTCACACTGAATGAGCATGGATTGTGTGCAGATGGGAATGGGATTTACAGGAGTTTTGTTGGAAACATCCATTTGTGTCTTGTGCTGCTGTAAGTGGGACACAAGGTTGTGGCGAACCTTAGTTGCATAGCCACACATTGTACATGACACTTCCTTTGTCATGATGGATATCTGAGGAATTTCATCAATTTCATCCATGCCAAATGAATAATTGTGGAGCTCTGGTACCATTGGAATGGGGGCACTCTCAACAAGCTAAGGATAAAAGAGATCCAATTTTCCTCAGCTAGTTCCATAAGCTTCATCAAGGGTAGACTGTAAATTGTCAAGATTTCACTGTAAGAATGCATGGAAAAAGTTTCACTTCACCAGATAGGAGATTGCAAATTAATGTTTCTCATAGACTCAGTGCATTGAAGTATACCAGCATTTTCATCATACCTGGTATTTAGTCCTCATGATAATCATACCAACTCCTATATTTTCTGATATTATCACCACAGTATGGAAACTGTTGGGACACCACCACTAATCATACAGCTGCCATGGTGCCATTCCAAGAGCCATAACAAAAAGAAATTGTCAACTATCCTTACCATTTCTTGGCAACTATAATTTTGCTATTAACCACTGTTATGTTATTTTGTAAATATAGAAATAATACTTAAAATATAGCAAAATCATGTTACAAGTGCATATATTCTGTGAAAATTATTATTTCTTCTGTGTATTTCTTTGAAAACTTCAATGACAGAATATATGAACTTGTAACATAATTTTGCTAGATTTCAAGTATTATTTCTATATTTACATAGAAGTGTGTGATGAGGGTAAATATGTATGCACTAACATTCCAGGTTTTTCTTAAATTGTGTTCAGGCAAATCACAGAAGGTTAGTCCTGAGCAAGCCTAATGAATCCATCCATTTGGGTTGAAATGGAGATGTCCTCTTACTTTCAATTGACAGGGAACAATACAAATGTGTAAGTAGCTAGATGCCATCACAATAGAAAAACTCAGTGTTTTCTTCTGGAAGTTTGTAACTAAAACAGCTACCCCTCCCCTGCCATGACTGGTATCACCAAAAAACCTCCAGTAGTCACGAGGCGATATTTCTTTTTTTTTTATTTCTTGGCTGCAAATTTAAGCAAAGAGCAGCCTTAACCCTTTGAGGTCCTAACCTGGACTCAGCCCAGAAGAACTTAATAAATCGATGTTCTGCACCAAAAAGAAGTTTTGGATATATATTATAGTTGTAAAAAGCAAGTGTTGTGTATTGCCTGTAATTGCATAATTTTCCTGCAAATTTAACTTTGCCTGGGGGAGAGCACAAGGTAAAAAAAAATTGGACCCCAAAGGGGGTCAACAGTTCTTGAACAGCAACTAAAGGAGAACTCACCTCAAGGTGACCCAGGTCCAAAGCTTGATTTGGGTGGATGTCAACAACATGAGATATAAGGTGCTCCTTTTGCAGACCCTCCTGACAGAAGCCACATATCACTCGCCCAGCACCATGAACTCCAACCTCATGCTGTTAGGGATACCAAACTGTTAAATTTACTCATCAAAATAAGCATGGAAAACTGGTCATATATCATGAAACTTTGAATGCATCAATGGGTATTTAATAAAATAATGGGTATTTAAGTGCAAAATAAGGGCAATATTTATCATGGATAACATCTTTCCAGTTAGAGGAGGTTTTTGGTGAAGGAGTCAACCTAGTGAAATGGCTGCTTGTACTTCAGGATATGATTTTGGGTTTGTTACATTTGTGCCCTGCCAGTGTTCCAGACACTTCTTATGCTTTCTGGCTTTAGCTTTAGTATAGCTCACAAGCTAGAAGACAAGACTGGTTGAGAACTAAGTCCACAAAACTACTCCTTATCAGTCACTAAAGTGAAGCTCTGCTACCAAACATGAACTGCAGACTTTAGCAGTCACTTGCTAATTTGTATGTAGATATATGCATATTGTGAAAGGTAGCAAGGCGGCAAACCGATGCCATGATCTTTTCACTTCTCTATTTCCTTCTCTTCTTCCCCCTCTTCATCCATATCCAGAATTTCTTATGCAATAACAATCATGAACCACCCATACATCAGTTTGGTTAAAACAGAAAGAAAAAGCATTTCTGCATTCTCTTGGCATACAGTTGTTTTTAACTCAGGTATCTCAGAGAATGTCTGTCTACATATACAGGGTGGCCCTAAAAAAGGAACTCAACCACTTTTGCCAATTAGTTATTCTAAGATGCATTGCAGGTTAGGGCAGATTGTTATACATTATTTGCATGCATACATTGCCAATCCAATGTTAGAACAATAATCATCAAAACCCCTTTCAAGATACAAAAACTTTTGAACATGAGCGCTGATACATACAATACAATAAGGTATCAGGTGCAACATGCCCATGACTGCATGACTCTGGAACACCAGCTAACCCACCCTCCCATCTAAACCCTCACCCCCTGTAACATCAGCCAACACAAGTAAATGTGGGAAACTGATTTGATCTAAGCTGTTACTCCAGGGATATGCCACCCAGGTTTGGCTTTCACTGCTGGAGATCTTTAATATCCCACACCCTGAGACAGGAGTGCAAACTGCTCAGGCACCTCCCTTACCAAGCATGGCAGGGCTTGAACTAAAAAAAAAAAAAAAAAAAAAAAAAAAAAAAGAATCCTAAAAGAAAAAAAAAAAAAAAAAAAAAAAAAAAAAAAAAAAAAAAAAGAATCCTATTACCAATCAAGCCACTCAGACATCCAAATTGATCACATAGTCAAATAATTGTTTGTCAAGTTCCAGTGATTAAGGACATGATGTTTTATGTTAAAGCTCAGAAAATACATGGATACCTAGGAAATTGACGACCTCTACCAGAGCTGCTAATACAGTGATTCAATTTGGTGGCGTGTGATGATGCCTGTTACAAACAAACAGAGAGCAATGACTCAATCAGTGGTTTCATGGCACTATGCTTGTCCTTTTTCCATGATGGCATTATGGCCCTAGTGCAATGCTGGTTAAATTCATGGTTATGGGCAGACAATGGAAATTAGCAACAAGCACACAAGAGCCTACCACTTCTTCAAATATTATTTCATTACTGCTCAGTAAATACCATGAGAAATTATATTACAGGCATTACTTTTGTGATATTTCCTACAGAAACCTTAGTTGATAGCTTGTATTTATTTATTTTATTATTATTATTATTATTATTTATTTTTTTTTTTTGGGGGGTGGGGGGGGGGGGGTGGGGCACCATATATAAAATGCACATTTGTCTGTAAAAACAACCAGTGAAACAGACTCCCAATTATGCTCAAGGTAGCTTAACAGGAATTTCACTGTTTCATCTTCTACCAAAAAGAAAGAGAACCAGGAGAGCCCTATGTCCTTCTTGACTAGATTAAAGTTGATGTTCAAAGGGTAAGTTTTTTTAAAAGAAGCATCTTATTACTCACAAGTAGAAAACTGGTCAGGTCTGGAAATTCTTGGATGCAACGTGAGCAAGGAAACACCAGCATTCCAGGATGGTTCCTCCTGATGTGATGATACATCTCTTCACCCATATCGGATCCAAACCTGCAATCCACTACAACATGGAAGATTCCCCAAAAATCACAATCAATGACAGTATTCATTTGAGGTGCAAGGCATTACCCATTGATTCTCAGTGTTCCTATTAAGGAACATGAAAGGAAATTCATTTTCATTTAAAAAAAAATAGGATTCTGAAGTATAGTTCTTTTTAATGTAGCTTGCATGAAATTAAATTTTTGCCAATTAAACCAGAAACCAGTTCATTGGTAAAACCTAAGAATTTCAATATTCATAATTAAATAGGGAATTACATGAACCCTCCAGATGAAAAGCATGACATAATTTCACATTCAAGGTGAAAGAGATGATCAAACATTATAGATTCATCACAGTGATTATAGCTTTCTGCCATGTAAACATCAATGCTTTACATCAGATGCAAAATATTATGGCAATTATGAACAGCTCACATTTAGGGCAATGGTAGCTACCTCCCTTGGGACATGCTGCTTCCACTGAACTAGAGTCTGAAGTTTCACCACTGAATGTAGGTAGTTCATAATGGCACACTGGTTCACTCCCATGATGTACTCTCTAGAAAGAAAAAGAAAAGAACACTAAGGAAAAGATGTAATTAATATATGCAGAGAACAAATTCTAACAATCAGCCTAAAAAGGAGATATACCAAGTGAAGAGAGATGAAAGTAAGCTTCACAGTTCGATAAGGACAATAAGGACAGAGAAATCTACAGGCTCCATGCTCCACCTCAATGTGTTTGACCATGCCAGACACATTGTTGAGGTTCCTGCAATATGCACACAAGATCACAGAATCTATGTCCTTGTCATGAATGTCATTCAAGTGGGACAGGAATTCCAATGCAATCCTGGTTGAGAATGCACAGGTAGGCTCCACTCCACACTTGAACAGGTTCACAAGGTAGGGCTGAAGTTGATGAGCTGGGAGATTCTTCTCCTTCAATTCTGAGATCAACCTCCTTTGGTTGATGTCTTTGGGAGTGCTGTGCTCTTCTATGGGAATACCTCCTGAACTGGGGACCTCAAAGTGTGGTGCTTGTATGCATCGAATTGGGGATCCAGAGTGTGAATTCCTCTGCAGACAGATGGAATATGGCATGCATAAACATAACTGAGGGCAAAGTCTCATGCTGTAAACTGAAAACACTGCCAACAGCATTAACTATGGAATATGAAACTTAATTTGATTCAAGATAATTTTAAATGCCAAGCATTTGTTATACATAAGGTGGGCCAAAAAAAAAACAAAGCTGTCAGTTTTGGTAAGCCATCAATCTCATTGTAGGCTGCTGATTCTGATTAAATTTTGTAGGCTTATAGCTTGACACAATTGGAGATTTTATGCTGAATTTCCGCCTTCTGGCTCTAAAATTACAGGAGCTGTAATTATTTTCTGATGACCCATAACAAAATGTGGTTTTAAAAATATCGATATGAACTCAAGGCTGGGATGAAAGGGAAAACCGAATTCATGACCTTCCATCCCTGCATGATGCTATAGAGGAAGATTGGGAGGCACAGCCTCAAAGATTGTGGTTCACTCTCCATTCAAGCATTGTGAGATTCATTTGTCTGATGAAGCAGTTGTGCCTGTTTACATTGCCTGACAAGTTGAATGACAGGTTGAATCAGTGATGACTCTCAGAATCATTCCGATTTGTTGCAGCCCAGACTACACATCTAACTTCATCTTCAAGGGTAAATTGCATCATGCATTTATATAGTCCTGTAAAAGCCAAAGAAAATCAAATGTAATTCAGATGAAAATATAAAAAGTTAACCAAGTTCAAGCATTGGACGTTTCTGGGACACCCTGTAAAGTAAATTAAATGCCAATCTCAGTGATTGAATTTTGATTTGAAACTCGGCACACAAACTCTAAGTGAGTCACCCTATGTGTCTACCAAATTTAATCAGAATTGGCAGACTACAACCAGAATGACAACTCACCAAAAGGATACCTTTGTTTTTTTTTTTTGGCCCATCCAATATATAAAATTTTTTTCAGAGTTCATGGAGGCAGCCATTACATTAATTACAGGGAAAACTTGCTCATGAATGAAAGTTAAGTTCTCCTAAGTGACAATCTTTGACAGTTCCAAAAGTCCAGCAAGAGAAGTTCTACCATGAAGTTATGCTTGAACAGTAAGTAATCTGGAGAAGAAAAAAAAAGAAGCCAGACTATAGTGCAGTTTGAAACCCATGATTTCCTATTCACAAAAATGCAGAGAATTTGCAACCCAATGGGATTTAGAAATAATAAATTAAGTACATCCTTTTCAGCTCCAAAAATAAATAAAATGATAATGCAAGACCTCTGTCTTCTTAATGATTTTTGGTTGGCAACTATAATCAAGTAGGTAGACAATACCCTTAGTGTGGAAAGGGGAACTGACCAGGTGTTTATTCATGGATTCCACACTGAAGGAGCGGAAGAAGCACTTAATGCACTGAAAGATCCAGGATTCATGATGTTCCATCATGTGCTGCACCAAAACTTCAGAATTCTTGCTGGAATAACGACAATAGGTGCAGCTAAAGGGCCATACATCATGGCAATGATCCAATGAGAGGTGTTTCACATAAGATGAGGCTATATTTGTTGTGAAGGAGCAAGAAGAGCTGGTGCATTTGAAAAAATGTGCCAGCTTCAAAATTGAGCGTGTGATGCCATGGTAGACATCTATATCTTTCTTGTACAAAGGCTGCCCAATTCTCACAAGGATGCTGCAGGAATCTATGTAGATGTCAGACATGACAGGCATGGAATCAGCATCCTCAAAATTCCTTGGAATGACTTGTACAGCCCAGTTCACACTGTCAACAGCCTGCATGAGAAGGAATAGGAACTAATGACACACAGGATATTACAGATCTGCCCAGAGATTCTGGTAGGATTTTACATTCTTTGTGTCTGGTATCCAGATAAAAAAAAAATTTGTTATGAGAATGCTAGTTTCACACAAAGCACTATGAGGAAAATATCAAGAAATCTGGGATAAAAGCTGCAGATAAATTTCCAAAAAACCCAATAACAAGGTAGGGTCTTGCTTAACACTTTCCCTGGCATGGGCATCAGGATGCACCCATGTCAACAAAAGGTTTTTCTGTCATCGTTTGGGTATTGATGTCTTTCGATGCTCTGTGCTATGGGTTTACTCTTTGAAGCTTCTGGCATCTATAGAAAGTCAGACAAACTAACAACATCTGGGATTATCACCAGGAAACTTCATGCAACTCACTTAACCAAGAATCAATTGCTTTGAATTCAATTTATCAATTTATTTCCCACAGGTAAAATTCGAGAGTACAGACCCTGCTCATAACACAGTCAAAATTAGGCTCAAAATTAAAAAAAGACATTTGCAAATTTAACCAATGGTAACTCTATTATATATAACTCAGGCTACTTTTCACTTTATAGTATCTTAACTTTATAATTTAAAAGGATTTCAAGAGAGATATTTAGATGCTTCCTAGAATTTTTTATTTTGAAATAAACTTGAATCATGTTGGGAATAAACAGGTATTAAGGAACTGCTCAGCCAGTGATAAAAAATATGCAATCGTGCAACAAGAGCCAAACTACAAGAAATACACATCCAGAATACATCCACATGTGGCAAGTGCAGTCTCCAGTCCTTTCTCAATTTCGTATAATTTTGATATTTAAATTGCCTAAATTCAAGTGGTACTGAAAAGTGTTAAAGTTCATTGGGTTTGTTGCCATTAAACTCAGTTAATTTCATTCTTTTATTCAAATCTCATTAATTTCATGTCCTAAGCTGTTACAGAGAAAGCAAAATATGAGACAACTTGAAAAATCTAAAAAATGAATTTCACCCCATATATATAATAATAATCACTGACAACATAGGGAAACTCATTTCATGTCTCTACTTGCAATAACTACAATGGAATTCAAGATGGGATCTGATGACAAAGTTGACATTGTGTATGGTGTCTGTCTTTCATTTTAGCATTTTAATCATTTTTCAACATCCAATATGTAAGTGTAGCCCCTATATTTGGGTGGCTTTCTGGATATTTAAAAATGTAATTAAATGCATAAAGAATTTAAGATTTGCAGATGCAACATCTTAAGTGAGTGTACTACCAAAAATGCCCATGGCAGTGGTGTTATGTAAAACCATAAATAGGAAAAAAATCAACTTCCTATTTTTAATATGAAACCTATCTACAAAGAACTCAATATAATTATGAATACGGATGAGAATGATCCATTGGCACTATGGATAGTATGCCCTACTCACCTGAAATAATGGCTGTGTTTTCTCCAGATACTCATTTTCATCATCTAGAAGAAGTGAGACACATTGACTAAACTTTGAAGAAAATGAGAATCATGAAAAGATCCAAATGCTACTAATCACCTTGGGTTTCTTCATGCATGAAAGCATTGTATCCAAGATCCTGTGGAGTGAGCTCCTGTTCTACTGTCACAATCCTGCTTCTGTCAAACTTCTCTCCCATGTATGTTGTCCAAGCATAAATTGCATCACTATGTTGCTCTACAAAGTCTGTGGATGCCTTGATACTATGTATCACCTTCAGCAGCAATGGGTCATCCCCCTCATATGCAAAGGTTGGGACTTGTTGATCCAAATCTTCTGACTCAGAGAAGACACCTGATATCTTGAACTCATCATTGGACTCTTCATCAGTCTCCATATCTTCAGCTTCACGAGGCTTCCCAGATAATATTACAGGCAATGAGTTAAGAAAATCCATACTTTTATTTCCTAAGTCTAGTTGTGACTTGAGCTTCTCCAAAATGTCATGCAAATAAGAAGGAAGAGGTTGAGCATTAGTCACCATCTTCCTGCTTTTGAGAGTGGCTATGAACACCACCGGGTTCAATAATGTTTTAAAGGACTTCAGCTCTGCTTCAGACACAGTCAACTCAGCTTTCTGCTTCTCCAAGTTTCTCTCTCCATCAGCTTCATGAACATCATCTCCAAGGAAGATGTCTTTAATTAGATCAGGAGTATTTCCACTTGACTCTGCACTTTCAGTAGCTTGTGACACTGCCTGTCTATTCATCCTTCCAATACCAAGCAATGAAAGGGGCAAATCCAAACCTGACATTGGTACAGGCTTTAAAAGGTTTATTCTGATAATTCCAGATGCTGGTTCATTCAGATGAGCTTCTTGAGTGTGCTTCTCCATAGCAGTCAGGTGCAGCTTATAAGACTGGCATCGTTGGCACATGTAAAGCAGAGGCCACTTCCTGGAGATAGCTGTGAACCACTTTGTAATTTCAAAGCTGACTGGATTGCCTGGATGAAGTATTTCATGATGGTACCTGATGTCATCTACATTGGAATGGAGAGATGGGCAAGAAGTGCAACAAAACCTGGGCTCAAATGTGTGTTCATCACAGACATGTATTAGTAGGCTTTCCACATCTTCACACATCATTCCACAGATCCGGCAAGTAGGCATGGGCTCCAAACACTGACCATGAATGGCCAAGTGCTCCAAGAGTGCATACTTGTCCTGTGCCTCTAAACTGTCCTTACACACAGGGCACATCACACTTTTGGGGAAGGGGTTGCTCTCACACAGCCATGACAGGTCTCTGAGGTGCTTCCTCAAAGTTTCCACTTCTCCTGAGAAGACATTTTCCTCAAGCTCCACCTCACACAACATGTTAGCAGGGAGGCATTGAGGCATGGCAATGGCTGCATGGGAGGACTGCTGCTCTATCTGTTTGCTTCCTTTAACATCCTGCTGCTGATCATGCACTTCATCACTTATTTCTGAGTGGGGAAGCTTGGTCTTCACTTTCTGTTTCTGTTGCACTATTCCCTTGCTCCAATATGATACTTTCCTTCGTCGTTTCTTTCCCATCGTCAATGATGTCCTGCTGGTGGACCTTAATTTATACGGCATAAAGTTTCCTATAGGTGATGGAAGTTCTTCAGATTTTACTCTTGCACAATCAGTCATGTTATCAGTAGCTTCATTGGCACCCAACATGCCTGTCTCCTCATTTGACTTGGGTTCATTTGATTCTAAGCAAATATATGACTGACTTCCAGTAGATTCAGTTATGGACTGAGCAATGATATCTCCAATATCTTCAAGAAAGTCATCTGAAAAGGGCTGAAAGGTGGATGTGCCTTCTCCTAATCCCCACCCACATGTTGCACTCAAATATTCCTCAAAAACATCACCTAAATCTACTTCCAAAGCTTCACCAGTGATGCTAGTGTCTTCTGGTTTGTTCTCATCACATGATTGCTTCTCAAGCTGTGAAGTCTGTCCAAGATGTGCACCAGTCACTGCATCCAATTTCAAGGGTGCTTCACCTAATGCAGCCTCATTCTCCTGAATCAATGGTGCAACGCTGATTGACACCTGCTGCAGCAATGGTGCAGAGTGTTCTGCTTCTTCACAGGGCATTATCTTTGGGAACTTGAAGCCAGTCAAGCTGGTTTTGTCACATTGTACTTGGTCAAGAGAGACAGAGTTTTCAGGTGTAACCAGAGTTGCTGATGAATTTTCGAAAGATCTTTCCAGTTGAGACATAGATATAGTCGTAGAAGATCTCTCTAGCTGTGATACAGATGTTGCCTTGGGTGATTTCCCTTGAAAAGATGATGTCTTCTTAGACACTCTCCTCTCTCCAGAACTAGGAGCCTTCTTGGTTATTCTGTCCTGCTGAGAAAATACAGCTTCAGTTGATTCATCCTGCTGAAGACCTGCTCTCCTTTTGTCAGGCTTCTCCAACTGAACAAATGTATTCTCTAGCAGTCTGTCCTGATGAGCAAACATTGATGCCTGACATTGAGATGCAGATGTGTTCTCACTTGTTGCCTCCTGTTGAGCAGTAACTACAGGTGATCTCTCTTCCTGAAAAATTGGAGTCTTCCAGGTCGCACTCTTCCTTTGGGAAGCAGAAACCTCCTTGGGATCCACCATCTCAGTTGAATGATTCACACGAGAAGTCAATGTCTTCTTGGTCAACATCTGCTGCTGAAATGCCAATTCATTCTTGGGCCATCTTTCTAAATGTGCTTGAGTATGCTCCATTTGCTGCTCTGAATCCTTGCTCTTTAATTTCTGAAGCCTTCCTTTTGGTTTTTTAAAACAAGACTCACTAGGTCTCATCCTTTCTAACCCTAAAGCAGTCTTGCCTGCTTCATTATCATATGAAAAATCTGACATCAGGGCAGAGCTTGCATCACTAAATTCACCAATTATGTTGGTGTTCAACACTTCTGGTTCTGGAAGGCCCCTTTCATTTATATCAATGGAAAACCCTCTAAAAATGGCCCCAAGGTTCTCTTGAAAATTTGTTTCGAGGTTACTGACCTTGGACTTAGTCACTGCACTTTCATTTTCCACTCTGGTGGAAAGCTCTCCCTTCCTAGCCCAGGGAGCATATGGTAACCTTCCCCTGACAGGTGCTGGCTTGCACGTCACACCCAGGTTCATTTTAGAGGTTTGGTGATGAGGGCGCTGCTGGTTTGCATGAGTTTGAATAGGAATGCAGCTTGGTGGTAGCTGAGGGTGTTGCAAATAGGCATGAGTTGGGAAAGGGCTACGGCATGCTAACTGTTGAGGCTGAAGATGAGAATCCTGGTTAAGTACATTAGATGCCCGTATAGCATTAAATGACTGATTTATTTGGTAGGACAATGTCTGGTGATATGATGGGGTGGTTTGCAGGTGAGGAAGATTTTGTGCAGAAAAACAGCTTGGTTGTGGGGATGCTTGTTGGTGGGGATCTCTCAAATATGATGCTTCAAAAATTGGTGGCTGATATGACACTGGAGGTCGCCACAACAGGGAATTTGACAGCTGATGATATGATCCAGTTGCTGCAGAAACACGGGGAGCCTGTGAAGAGAAGGAGCTAGGGGATGGGAAGCTCTGCTGCTGTTGCCAAGGATTCCTCAAATACGATGTCTGCATTAGTGGCCATTTGGACAGAGAGGTCAACGTTTGATGAGAAGGCTCATAAATTTGTGGAGAAGGCCGAGGTAGTGAATGGATGGGGCTAGGTGATGGAAAGGCTTTCTGCGGGTATAGAGGATCCCACAAACTAGGAATATTCATTCTTGGTTGGTTTCCTTGGGAGATCAATGCATGGTAAGATGCTTGAGTGACTTGTGACAGCAGAGAAGGGGTGGAGTATGGTAATGGGAGGAGTCCCTGCTGAAGTTGGGGATCCCTCAAACTGTACATCGGAATTGGTGGTCTCTCTGGTGGAAAGATAAAAGCTTGATGATATGATGGAGAAGCTTGTGAAAGAGAATGAGCCATCGAAGAAATGGAGCTTTGTGATTTAAGGCTGAAGTTTTGCTCCTCATGCCAAGGGTCTCTCAAATTGTATGGATTCAATGGTAGCCGACTTGCTGGGGAGGTGACCATTTCATAAGGTACCTGAGCAGCCTGCAATGAAGGAGAGACTTCAGGATGAATAGTACTTGGTACTGGATACAATTGAGGTATGCTCTCTGGGTACAAGGAAGGCCTCTTGGCTATATGAGAAAATTGGAGAGCCAAGGACCCTCTACTTGAGGGAAGAGAAATTTCTTGTAGCGAGTGCCAAGGAGTCTCTGAGGACTGTGACAGTGTTGAATCAAGAGTGTGATCCCTCATCTGAGCCCTCAGAGCTTTCAAAGCTTTGTGAAAAGTGATCAAGTCCTGTTCTTGGCTTGTGAAAGAGTCTTGACTTTCACTGAACATGGTTAACAGTTTTCCCTTTGTCATGTCAAGGTCACGGCTACTGCTGGTGCTTTCCAAGAACTGCTCAAATGCAGGGGGTACACCAAGATCAAATTGTTTCCGCAACATTGCTGACACTCTGGGAGAAGGCTCTTGCATGACACTTTGCACTTCAGTTGCCACGGAGCTGTCACTTGCAATAGTCCCCTGCATTATCCTGAGAAGGAACAAGGTGACAGGAGCTGAGGGGGATCTGCTACCCAACAAGGAGTCAAAATATACTAAATAATCAGTTTCTATTGAAACTGATTCTTCTACCTCAAACATTTCTACAAACAACTCCCATGTCCCCACCATTTCCATATCCATATCATTTCCACCATACTTGCTATCTGAGGTGGAAAACATTCTTCTGCTTCCCGGTAACCATGGTTTACCTTAACAGTTTACCAGGTGTGTGAAGTGACCCTGTGTTTGGGGACTGAGCATAGGTGAATGGGGGGGGGGGGGGGTACTTGGCAAGAAATCCAAGCCACCACTTCTGATTAAATGAAAATGTCTGTGTAGGCCCCTAGCAGGATCTAATGGGGAGTTCACAGAGGGGCATAGTCATTCAGAAGCTCTTGGCATTTAATAAAATTGAAGAAATGTCATTTGAAAGTCTCTAAAGGTTTTTCTGCATAAGAACACTTCAATCAATATTTTCATTTCTGAACTGGAATCTTGATTTTATTGAATTTGTACCTCAAGCCTCCCCTCTGCTTATTCAGTTGGTCCACAACCTCTGAAACACCATGTAACTTCAAACTGTTTGCTTGCTGCATTCTTTGCAAGAAATGCAAGCTACTTTTTCCTCCAAAATGGAGATCAAGAGCTTGAACTATGAGTTCTTTAGCTTGCCAAAGGGTTTTAGGGTTTAATTAGGGCACTTCGTTGCTAGAAACCAACAGATATTCTGTCAGCGACAGGATGTGTATGAGTTGACAGGACATACAAATTGCTACATACCAGGAGGTCTGGCATAGAGCCATGTGCATAAGGTGCAGAATCAAGAGAGTGGGATGAAATCGGAGAGTGCTCCGATGGGGGATGGAGATCAAGGTATTCTCTCAACCCTGAGGTTAAATAAGCTTGCTTGAAAATGGCATGAAGGGTATCAATATTCTTATTATCATTAGTCTGTCAGGAGGAAGGCCAGGTGACGCGAGGCTGACTGTCGACCGATTGAAGAGAAAAGGAAGCTAGACCAAGAAGTGGAGTGATCTGGATGAAAATTGGTATACATGCTCATATTAGTGTACAATGAAATCAATTAAGAGTTTCAAGGGTGTGGGATGACTATTCACAAAGAAAACCAGCCAAACATTGCAATTTCAGTAGTGGCAATAGGGCCATGCAAATCACCAAAACAGTCACTTAGGTTTTTATTGATTACACATAGCAGGAAAGTTTCTATTGATGTGCAGATAAATCTAGCAATGTTTTGAGGTCATGAGATGAGGCAATGCAGATAAAACTTGCCAAATTCCCATGTAATTGGGGAAGAGGGCAGAACCATTGCAATCAGCCCCATGCATCAGGCTGATGCTTGCATCAAATTGATGCATGGTAAGCATCCCAACTACTCTACATCAATGAAACACCATAACAACTGACTGAATAACATCTTGACTCCTTGCAATGCATACCTGTCATAAGAGGCTATCATCCAACAGCATCTTCAATGTAACCCAGATGTTCCATATCAAGTAAGAACAAATCCAAGGTTGAGCCCTGCATTACAAGTTTTACTTCTTCAATTCTATTGAGTGGACTCATAGCTGCTAGCCAGAGCTTTCCAGCCTTACACATTTACATATGCAATGCAACTTCCCAGGATGGGTATCATGAAAAAGCCTCATGAAATAGTCTACTTTCCATATATTCCTTCCCTCCAGTATGAACCTAAGTGAAACTTGTATTTCTGGTGCATAATCAATGTTAGGAAAATCATTTTAAGACTTACACGGGAATTGGATATGCCATTTCCAGATGGTTATGTGACTTTGACTCTTGGTTTCCATCCACTCTCCTACCTTCTTCCATCCCTCTGTCTTTCTGGAAGGGAAAGGAATGCAATGCATAACATAGTACAGAAGAACTTTCACTCAATTCAGAACAACTAAATGATTAATCATTTGAAGATTGAATCAATTATGATAATTGTGAATGCTATTATTCAAGTTTCAGAGATTTCATCCCACTGATACACAGTGCTTCATAGTAATGAAGAGGAAAAAATGTATTTGAGGGAGGAATAGAAACCTGTTCCAATTAAAGTTTTGCTGCAAACAAGGTGGCACCTACAGTTTAATTACAGACCAGGACCAGGCATTCTTTGTCTCTGTAACAGTAGTCTCGTATAAATAGAGTTGTACTGTACTGTACTCAGCTGATGTTTCCAAACATGTAGCTTTATAAAGTGTGACACTATTGGTCAATAAAAATTATATCAGTGCCTCAAACAGGAACCTTCATCATTAAGAAAAAAAAGGCTGGCAATGACAGATTTATACATTTCTGAATGACAACATATGGTTTTTTGAGCATAAACCTGAGTCTGTCATCTAATCACTCTGAGTATGCTATGGCAGAGTTAAGTGAAGTTAGATACAGGCACATCTGACAACACAGCAAGATCCAACATGAGTAGCTTCAGACACACCTCACTGCGCTGAAGAATCTTCCTTAGACGGTGACGATACTCAACTTTGGTCGCTTCATGCAACCTGGTGAGGGAAAAAAAAGGTAGCCATGACATGAATGAGTCATTCTGACATACTGCTTCAATATCCAGACAGTTAATGCAATGAGGACCACTTACCTATCTTGTCGTATTGCACTTCTGGCCCGTCCCACAATAATTTTCACTGTAGGGTTGTGTCCAAACCTGATTTCCACATCTGCAAGCAATTGCAGGAACTCCTCTTTCTCCTTGTGTGATTTCCACACTACAAGGGAATGAAGGCCCACTTTTTAACAACTCAAAACCCTGGTGATCTGAATGACAACTCAACTTTTCATTAGTTCTGTCTGAGGAAGCAATGATACTTTCCCCAATTAAATACTGCATGCAACTATATCAGTTCCATAACAAACAGATACTCCCAACAATGAGTCTTTCTTATTCCTCTGAGATATGATATGCAAAAAAACATGGTTAGCAAATTGGATGGAAACATTCCAAAAATACACTTTCCCCTTTTCTAGACACAGCATATTGCCACTGAAACTAAAAAAATTAATAAAATCCCTGGCTTGCTTGAATGTAACCCAAGTAATGCCCCCAAGGAAGGCAGGGCAGCAGCATAGGTATCCTCAATCCATTTCATACTGGAGCATGCAGCTAAAGAATAGAACAAAGAATAGTTACAAGAAGTACAAAAGTGAGCTGCAAACTTCATGCTAAACATAACTGGGATGTTGAATTCAATGCTATTATGCAGGCACTTGACCAGAAGACATTGGTCTAAAGAGGCAGGATTATTTTATAAAACCATGCATGATATACCACTTGTATGTGGACAAATCACCACTACCATCTATAGATTTAATACATATATGTACCAGTAGATGCAATGAGGTGCTTGACTACAAATCATAGGACAAGGAAAAGCATACTGAGCATCTACTTCACACTCAAAAAAGAGCTTCTTGCTTTGAAGATAGTTTTTTCTTGGATGGTGGAGGATGAGGATACTCATCTCACTGAAAAAAAAATATCCTCCAAATAAAATCCTAAAATCCCCTTTCTGAAATCTCACCACTTACCCCACAGCCTGTTGTTGCTATCGCTGGTTTGTATTAAATTGTACTCCTGTGTTCTTTACACTTGGCATGTTTTCATGAGGCCCAAAGGAAACCAAACCTTCTCATGGAGGGAAAAAATTATGACAAAAGAAGAAATTATGTTACTGCTTCTCAATCCAGTCATGAGAATCTACATTATTATTAGGTGGGTAAGTAATAAACCAATTTTAACAATCTTTCATTACATAAAATTTTTTTCAGAAAATGAAAACTAAGTTCCCCATTTTTTCATGTCTCCCCCCCCCTCCCCAAGTTTTACCATTGGGGGGAGGTTATTACAGAGTTTGGGTAAAAGATTTAATGTCACCATGTTTCTTCTTAAACATCATGCCATGCAGGGAAAAACAGCTGCTCTTCCTACTCAAGGTATTTATAGGCTTTAAAATAAATACCTTTCAACCACTTTCTTCTAATATTGGCTCAATTATTTACATTGAATTTAGTAGTTTGCAACTAGATTCGATATCGAAAGGGGGCGGATCCTCTCTCCTCCGAGAGGGGTCCGCGTAGATCCCATCTATTCAGAGACGAGTTCGCACGCTAATACGGGTTGGGAAAGGCTGGCATAGGTCTAACGTTGCGTATCCACTGGGCGTTTTTAGATTAAACTGATAAGGCCTAAGTTAGGCCTAGCCTACTCACCAGACATGGTATGCTATTAAGGAGCACCTCGATCTAATCCGGACTCGAGTCGACCACACCAAGAATCACCACATCCACTTGAACACGACAGTTTCAGCCCCGTCAACAACTACAAAAGCGACAAACGACGCCGAAAGACTGCAGGGTCACCACGAACTAGACGGCCTAGGACAGTTTCAGGAAGTGCAGGCAAGGTCATCTAGCGGAGATCATTAGAAGTTGGATCCTTCTCTCGCAGCCACCAGGAGTTCCCTGGCAAGAGTTGGGAGAAGAGGGGAGGGAGGGAGGAGGGGGCCTTTCGGAGGGACTCACCCAAATGCTGGATCGGCCGTTGCAGGCAGTCATTCGTGTCTACGAATGAAGAGGAGAATAAACAGTGTAGAAATAAATTTAGATCCAGTTTATTCTTTTCCTCATTCAATCTTTCTATGTTTAGGACAGGGACGTCATTTGGTAAAACTGCAAGGGAGGGGGAAGAGGAGCGGGGGGCGAGGGGGGGGCAAAGAAGCTAGGCAACTTGAAATAAAAATACAGTTCAGCAAGAGTTATCGCTTGCTTCGATTTCGCGAATTTTACGAGGCACATTCAATCGCGACATTAAATCTCTTGTGAATTTTTTCCCCGCATGGGCCAAAACATAGGAGATGATCCAGTTCGTGAAAACAAATATTCGCGAAAAAAAAAGGTTTTATGATTGAGTGAAATTAAATCGTCGCCAGAAATCCTCCCCGCGTTATCACGTAAAGTCGGCTGCAAGAAGAATGGCCATTTAATCCGAAATCGAAACCACGCCCGCGGCTGTAACTGGAAGATCTCTCGAGCGAAAGTCGAAGATGCGCGGAGCAGCAAGATTCGCAGAAGTTCTCCGGTCTCGGGCAGACCGTTTTTACCGCCCGCGAAATCGATTGGATTCGCCGCAACAGCGGGGGAAGCGGCGAACTCTCAATTTTCGCGAATTCGTCGATCGATTTACTCCGTGTTCGCTTTCGGTGCTGCCGATGGCAGACGACACCACATTTTTTTTCAACAGGAGTCATGAAAAATCATGGCGCATGAGAGCTCTAAAGACACTGGGGGGGGGGGGGGGGGGGGCAACTCCGATGCGATGGGGATGGAGCCATGACCACGATNAATTGGCAGGGGGGGGGGGGGGGGGGGGGGTGAGGCAACTCCGTCCCCCCCCCACCCCCCCTTGACCCCCCGAAATGAAGTCCCTGGTTTGGAAAGGAGAGGTAATTACGTCTGAGGTAATTTTTCGTCGCTCCTGCCCATTCGGCACATCAACAACGTCGCGTCATCATCGAGAAAAGATTAAACGTTGACACCTGGTCGAAGTGGAGAATTCCACGAAAAATCAACATGGATGAAATACTAGCTATCCCTAATTAACCGTACTTTCAGCATTAGCTGACCGCTCGTGAATTAAGTCGCCCAGAGGCTATTACGAGCAAATTCGTTCTTCATCGCGTTCTCGATGTTTCTTTCTACGAAAAGTTACCGACGGAAAAGAGGTTCTCGGAATCGACGCGAGATGGCGCCCAATCGCCGATTCTGCCATTCTTGCCCTGATGCCCTGAAATAAACAGTACCCTGCATTTTTTCATACAGTACCCGATCTTTTCCCATTTACAACACGAGGGAAGGAATAGGAATTTCTCGATCGACCTGTTTAACACTTTCGCCGCCAAGCCATTATTTGGAGGCCGTTCCCCCGAGGCCAAAGCAATCCTCCTAATTCTGGTGTGCACGACGCAAGCGATTCCGCGAAAGGTCCACTGCAGATGATGAACGCATGGGGCGGCAATCGCGCAAGCCGTAACGACGAAACTGAGCTTGTCCGCAATGACTGTCGGCAATCAAGCGGTACCGATGTCGTACCGTTGAATTTCTAACCGATCTTGGAGTGCCATCGCTCCCACATTCCTCGTATTCCTTGGACCTCGAACCTTACGACTTCAGGCTGATTCCAAAAAATGAGGTGCCTTCGATGAATGGCCGCCGCTTCGACGACATAGGCGCTTGCCAATCGACTTGCGACCAACGCGTTGGACAAATTTCCCAAGAATGGGTTACAGTCTGTTCTAAGCCCTTTACAAACGATAGGAAATGCGTGCTGCAAGTCAGGTTGAACTAGAGGGTTGACTGCAAAAAATTAAGCAACTTGAACATTTCTTTAAACAGATAAATTCTTCAGCGAAAATGTGAGGATACCTTGTTGACGAGGTTCTTCAAGAGCTGTTGAAGTACAGTATATGCACCCTTGCCCATCTACTCTTGAGTCGTGACAGATTTAATCGAATTGGTCAAATTTTCTGAGTGAACAGGCATGTGACTGCCAATGGGG